CTCGTCCCATGTCTGTGGCACTATCTTATATCCAAATAGAGGCCATAACAGCTAAAAAAAAGAAACCATATTGGAATAAGAAGAAATAAATATGGCAGATTGGGCTACAAACCATTTTCAATGCATAGTCAATCCATGCTTAAACGAGAAGGATGTTAGAATTCAAATTTGATTTAAAAAAGTATTAACATGGCTACTCCATAGTTGACTGCGAGCACTTCAGCTAAGCATGCATAATAATTGTTTAGATATTGCCTGGTGTAAATGGAAATTACCTTACATTCAGCTCTTTATCTTTTCTTTTCTTTTTGAGGAAGTTTATCTCGGAAGACAAAGAGAAAACAAAGAGAAAGAGAATGAATTTCACTCAACAAAATGCAACCATGTTAATGCAAATAAAAAATGAAAAATGCATATAGTAGAAAGAAACTCCACCTTAATCCCAGAGCAACTCTCCATAAAGCTTAGTTTGTATGTACTTGACCTGGTAATGGGGGGAATCCAAGATTTCCTCATTCAACACTACAAGAAAGAAGTAGTCAAATCCCAATTCACAAAAGCTATCTTACAAATATAAATAAAAATCAATAATGCTAAAAAATTGCAAGAGACGCACACTATCTACTATAATTGAGAACTAAATAAAAGCTATGCTCCCAAACAGTCACAACATTTGGCGTTAAAACCAATACACATTGGAATAACATAATCCATAGTGGAATAAGAGGTAATAAATATGGCACATTGGCCCACAAACCACTTTCCATGCATAGCCAATCCATGCTTAAATGAGAAAGATGTTAGAATTCAAATTTGATTTAAAAAGGCATTCACATAGCTGACTGAGAGCACTTCAGATAAGCATGTCTAAGAATTGTTTAGATATTGCCTGGTATAAATGGAAATTGCCTAAGGACATTCAGCTCTATATCTTTTTTCTTTTTTTGAGGAAGTTTATGTCAAAAAGAAGGAGAAACAAAGAGGAGAAAAATAATGAATTTCACTCAACAACATGCAACCATGTTAATGCAAATAAAAAGAATGCATATAATAGAAAAAAACTCCACCTTAATCTCAGAGGGACTCTCCATAAAGATCAGTTTGTATGAGTTTGTTCGAAAGCTATGAAAAGAGCATCCTTGACCTGGTAATGGGGGGAACCCAAGATTTCCTTCATCAGCATTGCAAAAAAGAAGAAGACAGAGATTGTCAAACCCCAAATCTCAAAAGCCATCTTACAAATATAAATAAAATCAATAATGATAAAAAATTACAAGAGACACACACTATCTATTATAATTGAGAAATAAATAAAAGCTATACCCCCAAACAGTCACAACATATGGCGCTAAAACCAATACACATAACAACTAAAAAAAAGAAGCCATATTGGAATAGGAGGAAATCAATATGGCAGATTGGGCCACAAACCATTTTCCATGCATTAGCCAATCCATGCTTAAATGAGAAGGATGTTAGAATTCAAATTTGATTTAGAAAAGTATTAACATGGCTACTGCATAGTTGACTGCGAGCACTTTAGCTAAGCATGCATAAGAATTGTTTAGATATTGCCTGGTGTAAATGGAAATTGCATTACATTCAGATCTTTATCTTTTCTTTTCTTTTTGAGGAAGTTTATATCGGAAGACAAAGAGAAAACAAAGAGAAAGAGAATGAATTTCACTCAACAAAATGCAACCATGTTAATGCAAATAAAAAATGAAGAACGCATATAGTAGAAAGAAACTCCACCTTAATCCCAAAGGGACTCTCCATAAAGCCCAGTTTGTATGTACTTGACCTGGTAATGGGGGAAATCCAAAATTTCCTCATTCAGCACTACAAGAAAGAAGTTGTCAAATCCCAATTCACAAAAGCTATCTTACAAATATAAATAAAAATCAATAATGTTAAAAAACTGCAAGAGACACACACTATCTACTATCATTGATAACTAAATAAAAGCTATGCCCCCAAACAGTGACAACATTTGGTGTTAAAACCAATACACATTGGAATAACATAAGCCATATTGGAATAAGAGGTAATAAATGTGG